GAAACGCATTCTAGTCGGACCCGCAGAGAACGTAGGCAAGGTAAGATTCTCAAAGTCTCAAGTCTCAAGCAAAGTCGAGGTCACACTCAAAGAATCAAAATTCGTGTGTAAGGAGCTAGGTTCTTGTTTGGTTCGTATGTCGATAAAGAAAACAATAAACGTTGAAGTAAATAAAGTGTAACGTGTGAAAGAAAGTAAAATATAATATTCGACCACCATAGTTACCATATCTGGGGACTGATGCCCCCCAGAACATGGTGCATCGGCCAAATTCAATCATGGCGTGGAGCAGTTCCATCAATCAGATTGTCCGTTATTTACACTCAGTTTACAGGACTTCGTCGTGCGCCATGAACTCGCTATTCTTCAAATTCAAATCAATCGAAATCCATTGAAATTCGACCATACGAATATTTTACCCCCCAAGAGAAGCAACGTAATAGGAAAGGCAAAAACGAAACGCTCGTGTTTTACGTAGAACACAGATTCCTAATGCCCGGGCATAAACCTATCGCAGGTGCGCTCTTAGGGCCCAAGTTGCGCATCTATCACGAGGCAGGTAGCAGTCTGCTGTTCTAGCTTTTTTTTTCAGGTTTCATTTTATTTCTTCAGATTGGAAGTTCAGTCGCACTATATTCTTTCTACCGTAGGTACACTACACTTTATGAGGAAGGAAAATTTGAAAACTCGTGGCAGACGAATAGTCTGGACAGATAAGCGAGCTATAGCTTAACACTTCAATTGTACAGCCGGCAATAGTTGCAGATTTATTTTCTATATGCATAGAAGGTAACTCATCGATGAAGAAAAAAAGGTGGACGATCGAAGCGTGGGCAATTTGAAACGAATCGTAACTTAAACTGAAGTCAAAGGGATTATCAATCGCATAATCCCCAAATTAAAGATTAAACGAAAGCGCATAAGCTCGAGCACAAGTTTTCAAGCCTTCCTAGTCAGAATTTTCGCTCATTCGAGTCGAAGTGACACAGTTGGTTCTCGCCTGCTAATAAAACGGAAGTACACCTAGCCGAGAGTAGGCTTCGGTGAATTCTTTAGAAAAAAGGAGGAAGTTATCCGATGCAGTTCTGACCACAAAAGATCGATCTTAATGATTTCTGAGAGGAAACAAAGCTCTCCAAGCTTTAGCTTCTCAAAACAATTTCAAGAGAAAACTTGAGATCTCATTTTTCCCCACATTTTCAAGATGCCATTACACATTTCAAAAAATGGGAGGCGGAAGAAGTGTTTTCCAATACATCTACCCCAGCCACTAACACAGGCGCACACAAGAAACATTCACAACATATCAAAACTTTTCATTCCGATAAGACCACATGATAACAATAGCATATATATGCCCCTCTAACCTGTTTCTCCTCGCACTAGGACTCATCGCATCCTCAGCGGCAGAGATACTTAACGTGCTGTCAACACACATCAACAAGGCAACATCGGCATCGTGATGGCACAACAGCAGTTTGTCCTGAAAAATGCAAAACAGAGGCTAACCAGACATCTCAATGCCCTTCATGGCCTGCTTCTAGAAGCCCGCGAATTCGAAGAGCCGTGGAAATTTCCTGTGGGAGCTCACGAACTAGACCTCTTCCTCATCTCAAAGAATATGATTGTCAAGAACCTCATATCCAAGTTGGAGCAAAGGAGGAAGGAGATCAGCGATTACTATGCCGATTGCAACCGGTCAATTGGCACCCTCACTCAAGACGTCAAAGGAGACATTGAACAACAGCTGGATGACTACTGGATGGAGAAAGAAGGAGAGGGCCTACTTCAACAAGCGGAGAATCTCGTACGCCAACTCGAAGTCCGTGTAGTGGAACTTCAATGCCAAGAAGTAGCTGTTCAACGAGACTTCAAAAGAGAAAGGGAACCAGAATACTCAAATCAATACTTACTCTCACAAGGCCCGAGTCAACATCTCCCTCCAACAAGTGTATGGACATTGGAACGGAGACTTTTGGGAAATGAACTGCGAGTACCAAACTTTCACGGCAGACCCTCCGAGTTCGACTCCTTCTGGGAGTTATTCGAGGAGTTGGTACACAAGCAACCCTATTCAAATATCGAGAAATTATCAATACTTCTCAACTGCTGCAAAGGAGATGCAGCACGAACACTTCAAATGATACCAAGGACAGGAGAGTCCTATGAAAAGGCGATAAATCAACTGAAAAGTCAATATAAAGATCCGCGACGTATTACGATACAGATGATTCGGAAGCTCAAGTCAATGAAACAATGTCAAGATGACCATCGTTCTCTGAGGAACAATCTCAATGACGTGCAAGCTATTATAGCCACCCTGGAACGACAGGGAGAGGCAGTAAACACCACTAACATGAGGTCAATGGTCCTAGAGACGTTCTCAAAAACCATTCAAGACGAGATGGCCAAGAAAGAGTTCGACTCAGGCAACATATGGAATATGGATAATTTATTGGACAACCTCTCAATAGCAATCAGACGCAAGGAGCACGTTGACAGTGTAAGGGACCCATCTCAAGGTGAACGTTCCATTTTTCACACAAGCACAACCACTATATCGAAAGTACGTTGCACGGGTTGTGGTAAAGAGCACAAGTTCCAGCACTGTAATAAATATTGGAACGCTACTCAAAAGATAGAGCGTTTACGTGACCTTAACGCATGTTGGAAGTGTTTCAGCCCTAAACACCAAACAGCATTCTGTAGGAAACAGAACTGTCTTCATTGCGGAGGCCCCCACAATCAAATAATTTGACCGTCAACGTCAACGATCGTCTGATCGAAAGACCTAATGTCCACCAAGGGAGGGACACCTCACCCTTCCCTTGGCGAACAAACAACAGGGCAATTTATTCAAGACAACGAAGTTACTCTCCAAAATGGCCATTCAAAAGCAGAAGCTATTCACCAAACAAACAAGCCCACTACGGCAGACCCTTCAAATTCAACCGCTACAATCAATCCCCACAACGATTGTTACAAAATCCCTCACAGAGAGATACAACCAACAAGGCTATGATCGAACATTCTGCTTCGCCTGCGAGAACTCCGGAGCGTCAAGTTCGCTTCAGTCCATCACCTAAGCCAAGAAGACGATCATCCGACAATGTCACTGTCAACTTTCAGATTCAAGACACTCAAGCTATGGAACAGATCAATGATGAATTCACAAATGCTTTTATAAACAGCACCAATGTACGCTTGATGGTCGTCCCCGTACATGTGCAATCTCCTGAGGGCCGAGATCGAGAGACGGTACTAGCACTCCTAGATTCGGCTTCAGATCAATCCTTCATATCAACATCACTTGCACGTAGAAAGAATCTTAAAATTCAAAATGAAACCACTATTGTAGTAAATACATTCGGGGGAAGAGCGGAAAAGAAACGGGCACATAGGGTAATCACGCCCCTGTACAACAAAGACGGAGACTATATCAAGGTGGAGCTTCTAACAAACGAACGGATTACACCCCTCTTCGAATGGGCTTTTTGCTCCCGGAGGATGAGATCTTCATCCAGGAGCATTTTTCCAGTGAAGAGTTGCAGCGAATTTCACAAACAACCAACGGTACAGTAGTACCCGAGCTACTTATTGGTATGGATTAATTCAATGAGATTATGAAGCCGAACAAACCTGTGATACGCCTTCCATCTGGACTTTTCCTAACACCGACCCTTTTCGGTCCTGTGATAGCAGGAGTTCCTCATACGGACGGCACACAGTCTGAAATGGATAATTTCAGTCAACGTCTTATTCACACCTACACGAACTTCGATGGAAATACAAAACAGATGGATATTTCTGACTTGTAGAAGCTCAATACAATCGGAATTGAAGAAGAAAGCACGGAAAGCGACATCAATGAACAAATAATAGCAGACTTCTATTCAACAGTTCAACTTAGAGGCAATAAGATTTTCGTGCGTTTTCCTTGGAAACTGAACAAGAACTGCCTAGCCAAAACTACAACCTGGCATTAAGCAGACTTCATCAACTTTTCAAGATGAAAGAGCGCAGTCCTCAATGTTAGGAAGATTACTGCAACATAATCAACGAACAACTCAAGAAGCAATTCATTGAAGATGCACCTCGCGGTCAAACGGACAATACAACACCATGCTATTACATCCCTCATCAAGCAGTCATCAAAGCGGAAAGCGCAACAACGAAAACACGCATTGTCCTCGACGCCCTTCCAAAATGAAAGGCGAATTAAGCCTCAATGATGTTATATATCAAGGGCCGCTCATACTACCCAGCTTGTGTGGAGTTCTTATAAGATCAAGAATAGGGTCGAAAATAATGATCGCGGACGTCGAAAAGGCATTCCACATGATCCACCTACAAGAATCGGAGAGAGATGCCGTTCGATTTCTTTGGCTCAAAGATACCACACGGCCCCCAACACCAGACAATGTCAGAATACTGCGATTCTGTCGTCTACCATTTGGGATAAATGCATCCCCATTTCTATTGGCAATCTCAATCAAGTATGGTATCGAAAAACAGTCAAACCTCAACAAAAACTTCCGAACGCAGCTCAATGATAATCTCTATGTAGACAACGTTCTACTCACAGACGACTCTACGCAGTCGCTTGTTGAGAAATATTACTTATTAAAACAAGTCTTCAATAATATGACCATGAATCTGCGTCAATACATTACAAACGACGAAAACTGTAACAACTCTATCGCTCACGAAGACTTATCATCTAGCAAGCCAATAAAAATCCTTGGAATCCCATGGAACCATCAGCAAGACTTATTTTCAATTCGATGCAGAATCCAATACTCCACTTCATTGACCAAGCGCAAGGTGTTACAAGCAGCGCATTCAACCTTCGATCCTTTGGGATTCTCATCCCCTTGTTACTGTCCGCGAAGCTTTTTCTTCAAGATTTGTGGAAAGAGAATTATAAATGGGACGAAGAGTTGCCCCTTCATCTCAAAAATGAATGGCAATCAATCTGTCAAAACGCAGCGGGATTCGAAATGTCGGTTCCCCGCGCGGCCACAGACCTCGCAGCGAATAATCGCTATGAAATCCACGTGTTTGTCGATGCGTCAATTCGAGCGTTCGCTGCAGCGGCTTATCTTCGAACGCTCGATGAGAATGGGAGAATACGCGTAACCCTGCTGATGGCTAGGCAGCGCTTGGCGCCGATCAATAAAAACAAGAAACCAGTAACGATACCACGATTAAAGCTTCTAGCCGTCCTGATCGGAATTCGCCTAACGAATTTTGTATTACAGGAAATACGGTTAAACATAAGTGAAATTCGTGTGTATAGTGATTCACAGGTGGCTCTCAACTGGGTCCAGTCCAATAACAAAAATGGAACCTTTGTCGACAATCGTTGTATAGAAATACGCGACAAGCTGCAGAGCTGGTCAGACAAAGGCATAATTTGCCATCTACAGTACATACCGTCCGAGCTTAATCCGGCGGATTGCGCGACAAAGGGTCTAACCAAGACTGAGATGTGTAACAATAACTGGTGGACGGGTCCTCCCTTTCTGCTCAGTGACAACTCAACATGGCCGAATTTAGCGGAATATTCCTGGATGTCGTACGACAAACAAGAAAGTTTCGAATCACAGGGACCACTTCATAATATGCTCGCCACAAACATTGGCAAGCACGTTCAATTATCAATATTTCAAAAAGACTATTCATCATTCAAGAAATACAAAAGAATCCTGGTCATGAAATTTCTCAAATTCATCGTTTTCAACAAACTTTCAATAAAGAACAAAGAAATATTTAAGAAAGCCATACCTGAGATCACAAACGTAGTGACGGACCGACCACTCACATCATTGCAACCCATTGACCTCAGGATGGCTGAACAGAATTTGATTAAGTCAGCACAGGCAACGATTTACTCAAAAAAAAGCTACGCGAAACTGAATAGTTTACAATTATATACGAACGAAAACGGAATTACTAGATGCCGAGGAAGAATTCAAGCCAAGCACTTGGCAAAGGAAACTCAAGAGCCAATTCTCCTTCCGGAAAATCACAACTTCACCAGACTACTTGTCAGCGATATTCACCGTCGCTGCGGACATCAAGGCGTTAATGGAACATTGGCCAATATACGACTGAACTACTGGATCCCAATAGGACGACAAATAGTCAAGAAATATTTGAAATCATGCTTGAGTTGCAAAAGATGGTATTCAAAACCATTCCTTTATTCGAATTCCCCGCCGCTGCCGCAATCACGGACAATGCCAGCAGCCCCTTTTTACATGTCGGCATCGATCTGGCCGGCCCGTTCCGTGTGATGGACAGCGAGAAAGAGGAACAAAAGAAATGGGTACTGTTGTCAACATGCATGGTAACAAGAGCAGTACATTTGGAAATCGTCGATAACTTGAGCGCAATGGAATTCCTCAACGGTTTACGCAGATTTGTAGCACGACGAGGAAAACCAAAGCTCATCATATCAGATAATGCGACAAACTTCACTCTCGGCCGCGAAATTATTGAAACATTAGATGACCGCACTGAAATTCCCACTCAAGAAATTCAAAACTTCTTTTCCAACGAGGGTATTAAATGGAAGCTCATCACACCTCTTTCCCCCTGGAAAGGAGGATTCTATGAGCGTATGGTCGCGGTCATGAAATCAACACTCAAAAGAATAGCACGAAAAAAAGTACTGCAAGGAAACGACTTTGCTACCATGGTACCGGAGTGTGAAGCCATGGTCAATTCAAGACCACTTACATACACGGGTAGTACGGTAGAGGATTCAGCAGTTCTTCGGCCTATCGATTTTATCATACCCTACGCCAATGTTAATCTCTTACCTTACAACGATCAAGATGAGGATTCGGACTACCACCCTCTGACCTCAACAAAAGGAGAAACTATTCAACTTTTTCAAAAACTTCTGATATATATGCAAAAAGTTTGGGAATTTTGGACCAGCAACTATTTGTTGGAACTGCGAAATTTCCATCAAACGAGGATAAAACAAAGGAGTTTCACGAGAAAAGAACCCTACCTCGGTGAAGTCGTGCTCATAATAGAAGAAAATACCCCTCGCGGGGAATGGCCCTTGGGCTTGGTTACCAAACTCATACAAGATAAGGATGACATCATAAGATCGGTAGAACTCAAAACAGCAAAGTCAAACATCACCAGATCAATAAATCAACTTATACCATTAGAAATTGACGAAACAAACACGTCTACGCAAGCCAAAGAACCAAAATCAACACAAGATGAAATGCCGCAAATAGCACCGAGAGAACACGTCAAAGATGACGCACCTATCAATCACGAGGCAACGAACTCGGAATACCACAGCGCGGTCGGACGAACTCGACGTGGCTACCACGTCGCGCGAAGGAACAGATAAACTACTCCGTGCACGCCACTCAGACGCAAGACAGTATGGGAACGAATCGATCGCACGCATACTGGCAACATTGGCTAATGCTTGCGTTATTGGCGAGCCTATGCGGAATCGTTCAATCAAATACGAACATAGAAAACGCACAGGGCATAGTACGCTGCACAAAAGGAGGGATCATTATTCAAATGTCAGAATTTCAAGACAAAATGCAGGTTTGCGCAAATGATTACTGCTTAGAGATTGACCATCCAGAGCAGTCCGTGAACGTGCAGTTTCCTGCCGAAATTATTTTACATTCTTATCATGTGGTAGTCAAAACTTTATTAGGCAATTCAACTCAAGCGTTTCACTGGGCATGCTCTCCCAGCCCATTCTGCGAGCAAATTTCGTGTACATTTTGTGCGCTAATGATCACCATCCAGAATGCTGACCACGGGTGGCCATTTTTCAGGCGTCGCGCTCTTCTACGTAGTACTCATAACAGTGTGCTTTACATTGCATGCCGTTAAGACACTATGTAGACGTTGTAGAACTATCTAAGACAAAAAATAAGATCAAAAACTGGTGCTTCTCAAGATGTAAAATTCAACGAGGAGCATGCAGAGGCGGAATGTGACCGTGGTAGAAATTGACGTAACGACCACGGGAAAATGGAAACCTTTTCCACATTTTATTTACGACTTCTAGCCATATGGTGGCCATGTGGAAGTACAGCCCATGGGCTGCCAACAAGTAATAGCTTGTCCTCTGTCGATCACCCAGGTGTGACAGCAAGAGACCAAAAATTGCAGCAACGTCATACAGTAATTGCCAAAATTCAATACATGCCAGTCAGACCGGTGCCTGCAGGTTAATTCGATAACTTTCCAATTCCACATCATGAGAGTTAAGCAATAGAAACACGTTTCGTGAGATGCCAAAAAAGGAAACGTTGTACTTTACCCAAGAATCCGAAACTTCGCGTACAGTCAAGAAAAAAAGATGCCCGAGTAAGGGCTCTGCCGGCCTCAAAGTGTGGCAGGCGAATTTCAACAGATCTTTGGTTTGAGGAGCTTGTGTAAGCTGAATAATGTTCACGGGGATCACTATAATACAGAATCTTTGGTGGATTTTGGGGATGCCCTGCGGCGTCCATCTCGGGATGTCACCTTATAGGGATTGTACCACTGATCCCTAAGACAACGTATGATGAGTCTCATGCCCCAGCGGGCGCTATGATAGTGATCTAAACCTGATTCCGAACTATTCGGGCTTGAACTCGCAAGACTGCGCCTTTCATGAGGCTACACAAGAGGAAAGACGCAGTCTTCCCAGTCGGAGATTCACCTAATCATATTACGTGGGTACTCGGATCTCGGAGATCTCTCGCGCCAGTGATACACCCTCTGAAGATCTGCAGCTTCCCAACTTCTTTGAATAGTCATGAGGTGAGAGGTGATGTGGGCGACTGCTTACTCGTCCTCCAAGAATGTGATTGGCAACATCCTTTTACTTTCTACCAATGTCAATACAATATAAACGGTTTTTAACCAATAATCGAACGATCGTGTACCTGAACGATGGCATCACATTTAGTTACGCCTGCTCACACAATCCCTCCATTTTCAACAATTCAAGTCAATGCAGCGTACGTGATACTTGCACATGTAACCCGGCCGAAAACACGGTGTCATGTTATTGCACCGACAATGATATCTCACAAATACAGCACCTTTCTAATACATTACCTGTGCCTATCCCCAATGGTATGGTGCTCGTGGGACCTAAAAGTACACCAAAAATCCATGCGAAAGCTTTTGCAATCGAATTGGCTCTTGATATCAAATCAACCATCGCTCAAGTGCAACGAAAAGTCTTCAATTTCAATTGCAATGTAATTCCCAAGACTCTTAATGGCTGCTACAGCTGTTCCAAAGGAGCAATAGCCACAATAAGTTGCACAGCGGACGTCCAACAAGCAACCGCACAAGTAACGTGCGGTGTGCGACAGTTCGTACTTAGATGCACGCGAGAAGCGAATGAGAATCAAATCACGCTTTTTTTCAATAGGGCGCAGGTGCACGAACAATGCCGCGTACAATGCGGCTTCCAAACTACAATAATAGAGCTTGTTGGAACACTCAACTATGTCAACGGGATGACTCCATTTTGGAGATATACAAAACGATGGAGCAATGAAACAGAAGGGGATCGAGACTACTTTAGCATAGAATGGGAGCTGCCCGATATCACGCACTTTCTCGACGTCTGTAAACGTTTCTACGTCTATACAGTTCTCACTCTCATCCTCCTACCGACTATGGCGCTTATCGCCGCTAGATATCTATGCTTCAGCGAAGCCAACCATACAAAAGCGGCTTCCACATCCTCAACATTCGCTTTCTTTCAGCTTCCGCCTCGCCTACTAACAGTTCCTCTCAAGCTCTCCTTGAACATTATGAAGTTGCTTCTTCGCTCTCCATTTTTGCTGCTTCGCTATACCGTACGCTATCTCCTGAAATAGCAGAAATATAGTCACCACCTGTTTTTAGAGCAGCTTCAGTGAGCAATCCTTCACTTTCACTCAGATTCTGGGGTCTTTATCGTATTTTAGACCTAGGTTTTCGATTATCGGACGTTCCAATTTTGATTCCCTTTAGAACACACAACATTACCGCTTACCGTTTTTCTATTCCAATCACTAGTCACATTCTCCTTACATCCGTCATAGTCTATTAGCCTATTTTTAACCTCCCCTTTTAGAATGGCGGACCAAGAGCCGGCTCATGAAAACATGGACGATGAGGAACAAGAAGAGGTTCCTGTTGAACCCGCCAGCAACGAAGCCAACGCGAACGACGATTCTCAACAACACAATGGAGCCCCACCAGTTCAAGATCAAGCTCTACAGGTCCAACTTCAACACGAGCCGCGCGTTAACCGCGACGCAGAAGAGGTGTCGTTAATTCATAGGAAAGTCAATCGACTTCTAGGACGTTCTGAAGACATCCAACCCATTAGAAATAGGCTCGGCAGTGCGTTCAAAACGACACGTGCGAGCAAAAAGATCAAAACAAGCACAACATCAAATTCAAAACTTGAAAAAAACGCTCGACGTGAAGAGGAGTTACTCCATGTGGTTGATCAACGCACGATCACAATGAAAACGGTCATGGAACGAACCTTGAATGCTTTGGAGCAGGTGTATAACCAGCACGAGCAAGTCCTTCAAGAACTACAGGAGCAGAAGAACCTACTTCGTGAATTAGCAGCAGCACCGCGGCCACCACCATACCGCGAGCATTCACCCCAACCAGGCCCAAGCAGCCAGCAGGAAGGGCAGGATTTACGTTGCGCATTTTGCGATGGCAACCATCACTCTAGTGATTGTTCTCGCTTTCGCACCCTCACCGACCGTAGGCGCAAGCTTATCGATCGCAACGCTGCGAGCGTTGTCTGCTTAGGGCTAACCATATGGCCACGTCCTGTAAGAAACCAAGTTTTTATTATTATTGCGGGACATCGGGAAGGGCGGAACAGCCGCAACCATATGTGCGTTCGCCCGTATCGATTTCACAATGTAAGCAATTTTGCCTCACTTTCAATCCTTAGCTTTCATTTCAATTTCAATTTTTTTGATTTGAATTCTAAACTTTTCTCAATTTCCATTTTTGATCTGATTCCCCTCTCCTTGGACACTTAATTTTCCAACATGTTAATATCAATAATTGCCCTATTCAAAGTTCGCATGTTCAACGTTTACCTTCTCCGTTCAATGTGTCCTTCAATTCAGAATGTCAAGCTTCCAGTTTTTAGTCAAAATCAAGTGTCTCAGAGCTTTATCCAATACGGGGCGGGGAAGCAATCTCATATTTCATCACCACATCGCCGATTACCCATCCTCTGTAACTTGGAAATGCATTGAATTTTGCTGCCGTACAATTTGTTTTTCCATCCCATGCACTGATATCCTTATTACTCTTGGTCGATAATGTCATTCATTGTAATCATATCTTGCTCGATTCAATACGACTCGCCGATGTAGACAGACTTCGTCAATTGGTCATTTAGTTCATCAATTACCTTAGATGAGAAAGTAATAGAATTGGGATCGAGAGGCCGCTTATCAAAACAAAAAAAAGAACATCAAGCATTTAAGATAGTGGAAATTGAATGTGATCGAGTCAGTGAGTGGATTCAGAGGACGACGACAACAAGGAGGCATCATCGCTACTGAAGTAAAAGGCACCAGAATTAGTAGATTCGCTTGCATAAATATTATTGTATCCTTTTATGATTGATTATGTGAGTATCTAAGCATTGTATGTTTTATGTCGTCAATTTCTCTTCAACATCTTCACCAAAGCCAGGTGATCGTGACCTAGTTTTTCTTACACCCCAACGTTCCGCGGGGAGGAAGCTATTTCTTATGACGCTTAATTATTGCCTCTACATCTTTCGTGTGGGGAGTGTCATGAATTCCCATTTATGATGTCATCTCAGGAATCAATATCATCGCTACGGGTATTTAAGCCGCCCGCAAGCGGCAAACGAGGGCTATCTCGGAGACCGCAGACCGCGTCGCGGTCACAGTCCTGAGAACTCTAGTCGATGGTCTTCTGAACCGTCCGCCCAGTCCTCCTCAGTAGTTCCTCAGACGTGCCGCCCACTTCGGGGGCAAAGGCAGTTTCCGCAGGGGCACTCTGAGCATGGAAACGCATTCTAGTTGGACCCGCAGAGAACGTAGGCAAGGAAAGATTCTCAAAGTCTCGAGTCTCAAGCAAAGTCGAGGTCACACTCAAAGAATCAAAATTCGTGTGTAAGGAGCTAGGTTCTTGTTTGGTTCGTATGTCGATAAAGAAAACAATAAACCTTGACAGTAAATAAAGTGTAACGTGTGAAAGAAAGTAAAATATAATATTCGACCACCATAGTTACCATATCTGGGGACTGATGCCCCCCAGAACAAGCGGATCTATCATGGACGTCTTGCGGGGGCAGCTGCGCAAGACGGCCATGATAGATCGCTGGGATATAACCTTGGCGTGTTGGATCATTACCTTGGGGGGTCTTTCCACTAGGCAGGTTCCCCTTATTCGGCCACCAATCCCATCATGGTATCCTCCTCGTGGTAACATCCAACTTACTCAGCTTAATCCTTGCCCACAACTTCATTCTCAACTATCCTACTTACTATAAAGCGCTTCTTCTGTCGTCTGTTGTCTGTCGTGCCTTTCATTCTGTATGCCCGTCACGAAATTCCATAGCTCCTCGGGATCTGCCTGGAGAGACCGGGTCAAGTATGAACGGGGTTTGCAAGGTCCCACGAAATACAAAACACACATCAGCTAAGCGGAGCCCCGCCCCCCCCCCCCCTCCCCGAGGGCGTGGCGTGCGTCAAAATGGACAGTACCGAAAACCAATATTTCGATTCCAGCAACCTCGAAACTAGGCCAAAAAGTGGGTAAAGGTGTGCCTTGGTAAGTCACATCGAATTAGGGAGACCCACACCGGTGGGCGGGGCGTTGTCCGAAAAAGCAGTGCTTCATGAAAAATTTCGTAACTCGGTTGGGAGAAAGCCAACAGAACAGAAAACAAATTGGTGTAGGGGAGCAATGCCTAAGGTGCTCCGATCATGCACCACGTTGGCGGAGGTCCACCCACAATGGGCGGAGCGCGCTCTGAAGTGTACGGCGTTTTCTACAAGCCCTCATAATTCGGGCCGGAGAAGCCTTAGTGAGTCGGAAAAGGTGAATAGAGGTAGGTGGAGGAGTGCAGGTTAATCGTCATCGGTGAGCGGGGTATGACCAAAGTGGGCGGAGTTATCCACGAAAATTCAGAACTCGGTTCCAAGAAGTCCCGGAGAGTGGAAAATAGGTGAAAAGAGGTGGGTGGAGGAGTGCAGGTTAAGTGTCATCGGTGGGCGGGGCATGACTGAAGTGGGAGGAGCTTGCGACGGAAATTCACAACTCGCTTCGAAGAAGTCCAAGAGACCGAGAAAAGAGTGGGTCGAGTCCGACAGCGCACGGGAGGACAGCTGCTATTGGTCTGTAGAGCGTGACAAAGGTGGGCGGAGTTTGCGACGGAAATTCAGAACTCAGTTCCATCAAGTCCCGGAGACCGGGAAAAAGGTGGATAGAGGTGGGGAAGGAGTGAAGCCCAATAGTTGTTGGTGAGCGGGGCATTCCCAAGGTGGGTGGAGTTCTCTACAAAACTTTGTGACTCGGCTGCAAGAAGTTCTGAAGACCGGGAGAGAAGCGGGTTAAGGAAAGGAAGTGAGTTTCTAATGGTGTGCGGATGATACACCAAAAGAGCAGGACTCGCTGCCAAAATTATAAATCGGCTACAGGATAGTTCAAAAGACTGGGAGATGGGTGAGACGTGACGAAGAAATAGGCGGAGTTTATCACGGAGGTTAATAAATCGGTCCAGAGGTAGTCTGAGGCTGGGATGAACGGACAATTGGTTGACCATTATGGACATTGTTGGAGGAAGGAGGGAAGGTCAAAAGCCATCGGTGATGAAGCATGGGACAATCGGTTAGAATTCAGCTCGAAGGTCGAATATTTCGAAGTGTATCAGAAATTCACGCCGCACCATTCTGTATCGCCGCAGAGCCTTGCTGCGTGCGCGCAATGCTGCGGCGCAACTGGTAATTCATTACGATGATTGCAGTGGGACCAACTTCTGGGAAAAGGTATTTACATCGATGGGCCCTCAGATTTTCGCTTTTTGAATAAGCTTTCATCTTGATCTATCTCCTGTACGGAACAAGTTCTTAATAAACTGATTTTTAGCCTCAATGCACATCTTAGATACCTAGCCCGAGTCCACTGCTTATTTCCATCTCGTATTACAGTAGCTGTTCAGTCAAAGATTGTTCAGATAATGGATGAAGGTCCTGTTCGGCGTTTTCTCTTCATTTGTCGTCATCCTCTACTTACGATGTCCGCAGAGCAATAGTGAAGCTCCGCTGGACGAATCCACTATGGAGAGCTCGGGCAGTAGGCGAGGACGCCACACCAGGGACTTCTTCGTCCTATTCTCTTATAGAAACGGAAGACGCTATCCAGTTGTGGTCCATTCATTATCTTGAGGTGGACGAGTACACTTTTACATTCTAATAATTCCGAAAAATTCCTATTGATTAAACATTTTTTCCTAAATGAGACATTGAAAGAGGCATCAAAGCGTACTCATCCGCTTAATATGAAAGCGGGATTGAATAAAAAACAAGACTTAGTGTTGCAGCTGGTTCATTCAACATCTGACCGAGATTACGCTGTTACAAAAACACGACTGAGCATTTATTGTATTATATATCTGTAGTAGTCAAATATGTATAACTGATACTCGTAAAGTGAAGGACATACAAAGATATGCTGAGATCCATAAGGCTCAAGGAGCTTTCTTCGAAGTCGAAGAGCAGTGTCCTGGAAAATCTTTAATCACCGGAAGCCTGTGCATATCTTTTGTTCCAGGACAGCAAATAACTCCTAATCGTCGGCTGTAACAATAAAAATCGGACGATAACGACATCGGAATCATCTGGCACGCTGCCGTCGTAACCACTTGCACATCAAGGTGGATTTGTTTTTGTTACCCGGAAGTGGATTTCGGCGCCTTATAACACTGCCACTGAATCGTTATCTATGGTCTCCTGAGCAGGACTGCTACCCAAGCCAATAGTCTCCATAGGAACTATTGTCATCACTTTCTTCAAGTGAAAACTAAAGAAAAAGCTCCGAATATATGCGTCAAACTTCCGAGTACCATCTAGAATAGTTGTAGCATTTAAATACGAAGCAGTCTTCAGAACAGGGTCGGCGATATTCTGGCCCCATTTTACCCACCGTCCACAGGCGTGGTGTATGTCACTATTTGCCCATGTCACTACCACCTCGAAGCCTACTCACAAATTAGCGCTCAGAATAACTGGTGTCGGTTTACGCTTTTTTCGAAGTTTTAGCTTGAAAGCATCATCAGAATCCTCGATAGGCGCTGCCTTCAGATATTATTGAATCGTAAGAAATTACGAAAAAGATTTCAGTCATATTCATGCTCACCGTTCATGTTTCACGTCCTAACGTATTCATCATACGTTGGTGGCGGAGTTTCGATATTTTCCAAACTCGTAGTCATCCTGGAAACACTCACCTATTAGTCCAATTCCACTAAAGTGAATATTTTGCCGATCATGCGTTATATGTAACACGAAAAGAACGATTTCACACAAACAGAGTCACATGGAAGAGCCATTCATGGCAGCTTATCCGTCACTAGCGCAACAATATTCATACTACGCAACTCGAACCCTCAAACACAAACCCTGAACCTCAAATTACAGACAGTAAACGCAACCTTCAGGATAAAATAGGTGTGGAAGAGCGTCCTCTCATAAAGCTGGAGGTAGGGTGTGGTCTGGAAAAGAAAAAGGAGAGAATCCCCTATAAAACCCCGAATAAAGACCTCCTCTATTTCAGCCACATTGCTCCCTGGTATAGGGAAGGGGAGTGTTCGACGAGTTTCACGAACGTAGCTCCAGTTGCTCCAGTGCCCATGACATTGAGCCGCAATGCATTAGCTGCCTCAACTGCGCCCGGTCTTTTCAAGCAGCGTCACGTGGCAACCAACGGCGGGGCGGTGCTTGCGGCGAAGGAGTGGATTGCGAATCGGGCGAGCCTTGTAACACCTTGCTCGCGTACTCTCGAGCCGCAAATGGGGCGCAACATCAGCTTTTGTCCACCTGTCTACTACGACAGTGTATGGAACAGGTAAGCGTGTCTAATCGTAGCGTGCTTAAGGCAAGTAGTTACCCGTTGGGCTAACGATACGTATACCTACAATGCCCCTACTTACATATGTAAATACATATATCTTTACAGTGGTTCAAAACCTCTAAGAAGAAGCCCTCTATTTCTCATAATAAACCATGATATAGCAAACAAGGAAGACAAATTCGCAATCACAATCCGGTCGCGCTTCACATAGCGCACACCTCATTTGAAGCGCCCCTTTCTGTCTTCTGATATTTTCTTGCAAGATAAAGTCTAAAAACATGTGAATATCACACCGGTTATCGTCGATCAGGCGATACACTTTCTTCCTGTATCTTCGCAGCTCTTTGTCTAACCGCAAGTCGCGTTCAACAATCCATCGGTAGATGTAGTAAACCATGTATAGACAGGAAATATTCAGTAGCACCAGCAACGTCACAAGTACCGAATAATATACCGCTCCATCAGGAAACTGTAACATATGTAGTACTCAAATTTTTTGTCAAGGGTGCAATAAAAGGTACAGTTGCTAGAAGATTGTCGACGCTGGAAACCAAAGTTGACCCTACATATAAATACTGCACAAAGGCTACCTCAGGTCGACGTTCCCACCAAAATGTAACCACGACATTCAGTGGATTAAAAAATGTACAACCTGAAATCACCTCCTCCGATTCTCCAGTAGCACCGCCCATTTAGAGGAAGCTCGGCCCAGAGATAGGTTCCTATCTCGATCATGCAACCCGGAACCCACTCTCAACCAGTTATTCCCGGTATGCTGGCAATTCTTGGGATGAAATATGATAAACATTTTCATTTTTACAGCAAATTCCACTGCTGATCCCGCAAACCGCAGATGGGACACGCTTCAGCCTTTCCTAGCATTACCCGGCTTATTCGGATAACTCTCCAGGTGCCTGCTTAGTATGATGATTGTTGGATCCATAGAATTATAAACCAAATAAACGCTGCCAAGGCTAAATGAGAGATTAAATCAGTCAGATCCAAAGAGGAATAACATTCTCACGTAGGTAAATACGTTGATGACGTCCTGGCTGACACCGTTGACCTTTCCGACAGCATTTTCTACCTTAACAGTGTCCTCAAAGCATTCCAAATACACTGATTGATAAAGAACAGTAACTAGAATTCCGAGACAACTCTTTCACACTCCACAATCATGACACCCACCCCGTTGTCGAAATCTCCGAGATTTCCATTGAGACTTTGCAGGATTCCATTCAGTTGATTGTCAAATTTGAAAAGTGCCAAGTGTACCTTTGCTATTCCTTCATTGATCTTAGTGATCTCAGCATCTATGGACATCTGAAGTTGGGAATTGCAATCAATTAGTACGACAGAAGTTAATGTGTGTTCAGAGGATGCAGAGTGAAAGAAAAAGGAAAAGAAAAATATTTTGTGCGAGAGACGCTACTTACATGGGGCCAAAAAAAAAAGACTATTTTGCAATTATGTTCCGCAATTCGGCCCCTTTTTTCTTCGCAGGAGATTGCGCCGTCGTTGACGGAAGTTAATCAGCAGTTTATTCGCTCCTGTGTCCCTGTAAAAAAAAATAGAGTAGAGGTCAGTCCTCCTTCACTGTCCTGCGACCGTCTTAACACGTTGACGACAACAAGCGGCGTTTAGCTTCCTTGACCGTCGTGACCGGCCGCGATTTTGCGAGCGAGCGCCGCCATCCAGGTCATCAGGCGAATTGTGCATGGTAAATACATGATTGATCAAAGTTAGTAGTTCTTTCAGTGCGTAAAGCCGCGCTCCCAGAGATATAGTAGTGAATATTTTGGTTGAAAGTCGGATGAGTTGATAGTGAAAAGGCAAATATTTGTGTAATCAGAATAGCTGGCAATGATCGTCAAAGCAATTTTGCAGCACCGATTATTGCAATGCCAAACACATTATCTTTGTTAATACTTGATTGTTCCGGCATTGACTTAGCACTACGCCTTTAAATATTCACATTCCATGAAAAGAAAAAATGTAAACAAAAATCAACTGTTGACGATTTCGGTCGGTCAGAAAAACTCTGCGCCTCTTAATTTGAAGCACACTGTGACCACTCTAAAGCTACTAATTTTCTATCGTATGGCTAAGGTTTTCTCTATGGAAGAATACCAGATGGCTAAAAATGAATCACGTGTGCGAGAAAACAATGAATGCATTGGCTGGCAGACAACATTACGTCCCGCGTTGTCCGTTGTGGTCTGCAAAGTTGGCGTGACGTATGTGTTCCTGCGCATGTCGTCAATCGTGTTAAGAATTTGACGTTCATTCGTCATCGTTCCTCAAAGTCAAGGAGTCTTACCGTAACTGCCTCGACCTCACAGCTCTTAGGCATTCGTAGAATCGATTTCAATCATTGATAGCTTTCTAGAGACAGTTAGCTCCACTGACGCAACCCCCCTCGAAACTCGCTTTCAGCAAACAGGTGGCGTTATATGTACATTATCGCCGTTTAAATCAAAATTCACAGGCTAATAAACGCGAATCCTCGTTAATTTTTCGTAATTCGTTTATAATGTCGGCTAAGAGTTGAAGTATTCCAGAAACGGAAACACCGTTGAACTCAGCTCTTCTAGCGCTACATAGGTCTGTGCTGTTTATTTTTTCAAAGAAGCTGGATTTTCGGAATGCGCCATGCACACGGTTCTATTCTCAAAAGTAGTTGCTCCACAATGTGGCTGTGTATATAATCCCGCTTAAGCGGGCTATACCTATACACACAAAGAAGGCCTCAAAACCTACCCCAGAATGCCCACGTAACTCAATCTCATCCACTAACATGTAAGATTAGATGAAGTTATTTCCGAGACTCTGAGATCTTCCATTTCGTTTTCAAGCGCTTACTAGACTTTACGTGATTCCCTTTCGTCTCTCAATCACATCCTTCTGTATAATCAAGTGGAATCTTTGACAAGTCTGCCAGCGGCCATAGTGGGTCCTATGGTGTGACAATTTCTGCATTTCGGATGGGAGGACGTGTTTTGGCAGAAGCTGTGAAGATAGGATACAAAATTCCTTCACATGTCCGTTGACTACGGTCACTTGTCCTGTAGGAATTATGTGGAATAACTCGTCCCGCAAAGGAGCGCGTTGTCCTTCGTGGTGTGGCCGCCAAAGCATGCCCTCCTCGTCATGCCCTGTGGAAATGTTTCAGATTTTTGGCATTTCCCGATGACTCGCAGACCTGAAATGTTGCCCTCGTTAGCTTCCTGTGAAAAATCTTATCTGAATGATATGCATTACATCCCCCGTTGGAGCTTTGTTTTTTCACCGTTATTTCAAGATTTCCTCTTTTTGGGCAGGATCACTATCCCACGACTTTACTGCCCCAAACATCTCAAAGTTTCACTTTTTCGGTCGAAACGTTTGTTCTATATTGGGTAAATTGCAATGCCGCTGATTACGGAATATGATAATTCAAGTTTTTGGATGCTGGTGGTCATTTGTCGCATTTGGCGCCGTTTGGCGCAAATTTGGCGGCCAAACAGCTGTTTTCCGCACAAATTCTGATGAAACTTCGTCCCATTTGGGGTTATTTTGGGTCGATTACAAAAAACGCACACCGCGTTTGTTAGTGCTGGCGCCAATTTAGCACCGTTTGCCGCCTGTCTGGCGCACATGGCTGTTTTTCACCAAATCTGCTGTAAACTTCGTTCATTTGGGGTTAATTGGGGTCTGATTACAAAAACGGACAGCCGTTTGTCAGCGCGACAAAGCTTATTTGGGGTCCCTTTGCGCCAGATTTTGTGCCACAGTGTTTCACCAAAATCTGTTGAAAACTTCGTCATTTGGTTCATTTGGGGTTCTGTATTACGAATAAAACGAATGACACCGCCTTTTTAGTGCTGGCGGCCGTTGCGCGCTGTTTGGCGCCAAGGATGTTTTTCCACCAACTCCTTTCCAATCGCCGAAAAACATGTGTATAGGGGTTATTTTGTCCGTCCTGAATACGCAATATATACATTCAGGTCTTGACGCCGGCTGCCATCGGTGTCAAAACAACACTTCACCATTCTAGAGCGTTATTCTTAGGCACCTTCTCAGACGCCGACTGTCAGACCGGGAAACAGTCATGCGATCAGACTTTACCTACGAAATGAACAGGAGCCAGGACGTGGAATGGTCGCCGAATCAGACTTTCCTACATAGGAGGAGCCAAAGACCGTGGAAAAGGTCATCGAATCGGAGACATTTTCCACAGAACAGGAATTGAGCCAGACCGTGAAGAAAGCTGAGCTAGCCAGAAAGCGATATATTCCACAGGTTTTCACTGGAGATGCCTGTATGCGTTTGGCAAGAGAAGCAATTCACTGTAATAGCTTCTCCAGCTGGCCACTGATGGAATGGTAAGATACGCGTCTTCGACTGTACTACTTCATGATGAGCCGCAGTAGAGTTGAAAACCCGTCCTTTCGCTTACGACAATCCGAAGGAGTCATCTTCCCCTTTCAATGCCTCCAAAAAAGCCACTTGTGCCTGCGTACCCCACGTCCGCGGTTGTATTTACTGTTGGATAACCAGTGTTTATCAGTTTTCCGACCTCGCACCCAACTTCCCCGATGATTGGCGCGTTCCTCGAAGTGCCCCACACAACTTCGCCGCGGAAGCAATCGCTCCACTAAATGAACTGGTGTGGCATATTGACTCGAATTCCTGTCCTTTCACCTTGTCCCCATGTCGCGCAGCCAGAAATAGGGCAGTGGAAACACCGTTGACTTCAGAAAGTTACAGTTCCGAAAAAGGAATCGCCGCCTCTGGCATGAACGTAGACCCTGGTCTCGTTCGAGTGGTCCAGTGCGGCAGCGCTCGACCCAAATAACCCCAAGTGAACGAAGTTACAGCAGATTGTGAAAACAGCCTGTGGCGCCAAATTGGCGCCGAAGGGCGACTTATGGTGCCAGTCGCTAAAAAAGGCGTGTGTTTCGCAAATCAGGGATCCCAAATAACCCCAATGTCGAATTTTCATGCAGATTTTGTGAAAAGAAATCAGCTGTGGCCAAAACCACGCACCGGTTTTTGGCGGCTGGCGCGTAAGGCGCCTCGGACCAGGGTCTACGTTCATGTCCGGAGGAGGATTCCTTTTTCGAAGAAGCTGTAACTTTGCTGAGTCAACGGTGTTTCACTGCCCTAATTTCTGGCTGCGCGACATGGGCAATGGTTGAGGACAAAGGAATACTGAGCTCTGTGCCACTAGGCAGTTCAATCAGGGGATCGTTCTTTCGGGCAGGCGAATGTGTGGGGCACTTTCAGGAGAACCCGCCGATCATCGAAGGTTTGGGTGCGAGGGGGCAAACTGACCGAAAACACTTGGTTATAAACGGTAAATATCAACCGCCGACGTTGGGTAAGGGAAAATAAGTGGCTGTTCGGAGGCATTATGAAAGAGGTATAAGTGACTCCTTTCGGATTGTCCGAAGGAAGGACGTGTTCCAACCAGCTGCGCTCATCATGAATTAGTGACATCGACGCACGGTTTCTAAAAGCCATCTCTCAGTGGCAGCTGGAGAAGCTTACAGTCTGAATTTGCTTCTACTGCCACGCATCAGGCATCTCCAGTGAAAAACGTTGAAATATGCTCTGGCTTAGCTCACTTTTCCCACGGCTCTGCGTCATTCCTGTCGTGGAAATTCTCCGGATTTTCGATGACCTTTTCGCACGGTCTGGCTTCTTCCTAATCGTACTGAAAGTCCTGATTCGGCGACCTTTCCCAGGTCTGGCCCTTCATCATCGTAGGAAAGTCTGCTTCGATCGACTTTTCCAGCGGTCTGACAGTCGGCGCTCTGAGAACAAGGTGCCTAAGAATACGCTCCTGAATGTGAAGTGTTGTTTGTGAACAGCGCCGCACTGGCGCCGGCGTCAAGACTTGATGTTATATTCGTTGATCAGGACGCCAAATAACCCCTATACACATGTTTTCAGCGATTGGAAGGATTTGTGGAAAGCAGCCGTGCGCGCCCAAACAGTGCGGCAAACGAGCGCCAGCAATAAACCAACGGTGTCGTGTTTCGTAATCAGAACCCCAAATAACCCCAAATGACGGAAGTTCAAAGCAGATTTGGTAAAATCGCTGTGCACCAATTGGCGCCCAAAGCCCCAAATACGGTCAGCGGCTGAAAACCCCCGGTTTTTGGTCCCGTTTTTTGTGGTAATTCAGGACCTCAATCCCCAAATGACGCAAGTTTCAGCAGATTTGGTGAAAACAGCTGTGGCCGCCAAACAGCGCGGCAAAAACGGTGCTAAATGCGCCAGCAACTAAAAACGGGTGTCGTTTTTGTAATCAGGCCCAATATACCCAATGAACGAAG